GTTTCTGGCTGCCCTGCAGCTGGATGAGTTATGTAAATGTCATTTTAATTAGAGCATAATCTCTTCCCTCTGACTGGCTGACTCTCCTCCCACTGTCTCCCTCCAGCTCCCCCACTCTCCTCCATTCTGTTCGCTGTGACCTCACCGTTGGCGGTGTAATAATCTCTGGAAACCCACAGAATTTCTCACAGGGACCATGTGGGGGGGGGGGTTAATTTCACAGCTGTCGTCCTTGAGTTACGTGTTTATTTGCCGAGGTTCGGAGCAAACTCAACTTGCCATAACCTACTTACAGACAGATGGGGCTCGGACCCGGGCCAATGAAGAGAATCCATTGGACGATCATGGGACCTCACGTTACCCTGTCTTTCTATACAGAATTATAATACATTTCATGTATGTAACTACTCTAGCGTCTTTCTCAAAAGGACACATTACATGACATGAGTCACAAAATACAGTACAGAGTGCTCCAAACTGCTTATAAACACACATAGTAAACAAGAGCACCCACACACTACACTATTCATTCAAGTACATAACTGGGGCCGAGCTCCCTGCCATCCAGGACATCTATATCAGGCGGTGTGGTAGGAAGGCCAGGAAAATCGTTAAAGACTCCAACCACCCAAGCCATAGACTATTCTTTCTGCTTCCGCAAAGCAAGCGGTACCGGTGCATCAAGTCTGGCACCAACAGACTCTTGAACAGCTTTTATCCCCAAGCAAAAATACTGATAAATAGCTAACAAAATAGCTACACAGACTATGTGAGTTAACCTTGTATCTTTATTGACCTTTTATTTAAACTTTTCTCTATGCACACTCACAGGGCCCTACACACTCACACGCACACTCACTCCATCATCTGCTCACTCACACATAATGTGCACATACATTTATACTGACTCTACACTTATATCCTGTTGCATAGTCACCTTACCCCTATACATATCTACAGTACCTCCATCACTCCAGTATCGCTGCACATTGTAAATATGGTATTGGAACTGACCCTGTATATAGTATGCTTACTTACTTATTGTGTTCTTCATATTTTTTATTTATTTTTCTAGTATTACATTGTTATTGATTATTGCATTGTTGGGTTTTGAGTTTGCAAGAAAGGCATTTCACTGTACTTGTGTATGTGACATTAAAACTTCAAACTTGAAACTTGAATAGAAAAAGATGGGGAGAAGAAGAGCTGAAACATAAACAGTGATGAAGGGGGAGGACAATGTGTTTATGTGTGGATGGTTATGTCATCCAGCAGGGTCTCTATGTTAGCCAGAGTAATGGTGCAGATGCAGAAGGGAAGAATGTTACGTAACTTGCATACAAGGAGCCCACCACTACGGGAGCACTGATCCTGGGGAGGGGGTGGAGGGATGGGGTGGAGGGAGGGCGGGAGGGAGGGGGATTGATTTGACTAAGCAGCTAGCTGGCCTGGACCGTGTGACCTGGACCGTGGAGTCAGTAGCCTCATCATTGACAGGTTGTTGCACATAGCGTTCCCCTGTAGCAGCACTGATCCATGTTGTGAGGCATCGAAACGCTTGGCATGTTTTCACGTTAGTACGACACTTATGCAGTCCTCATAGCAACACCAAGCTTAAACACGCTGCAGGGTGCAGTCCATGTGTGAGCAGGCCTCGCCCTGATTAACAGCAGACACACACACACCCTCTCTCTCTGGACGTTGTTTGCGTGGCCTGTTATCTGGCTCTCTCTAGTGGCCATACGTAGGAACAGTTGTGCCCTATGGGCTAAAGAAAAGAAAATACTTGGCACAGTAACTTTGAAATTACCCAGTGTTTATGTTGGCAGGCACTCTCAACAGGCTTGCCTTGCAGGACCAAAAAGTATTCACTGTACTGATACTGTAGTAATGCTATAGTGATAATGTACTCTGTTGCAGGTGATGGAGCGGAAGTGAGCCCGCGCTGAGACACCCTGTTGTGTGAAAGGTCATGATCCCACACATGGAGCGTGGTGTCATCTTGATCAGCCGTCCTGGCGGTCAGTGTTATGAGACAGACGGACAAGGTCCAGGGGTTTACGTTTGGACGTGTTCCATGTGGCCAGTCGCCCTGTCCCTCCCAGAGTTTCGCTTCTGAGCTAATGCGCTGAAAAGCCTTTATTTGATTGACTTTTAATGTAGACCGCTGGGGGCTTTTCTGAAATCCATCAGTCAGTCTCTGTGTGTGTGGAGGCCAAGGTCACTGACGTCTTTATGAAGTGTGGGCGTCGGGAGGAATCTCGGACTATGGTTGATTGGATAATTTGGGTTCATGTAGAGGTCAAGGCTATCTGAGGCAACATGCACTTTTGCGCCTCAAAGCTCATACCACTTAACAGTCTACACCTCAATTCTAAGCTTCTCTACCCTTAGTTCCTATCTCAGTCCTTATGGAAAGCTATACTATACACTGATGGAATGTGACCATATACGTACATACATAAATGGGTGATACATTGGCCTTTATTTGGATGGCCTTTCAAATCTGTAGCAGACAAAAAGCAGATAAAAAGTACATTGGCATTACAAATCTAGCTAGATATTACTACTCCCAATGGAAACTCTTCTAAATATAGTCTTGATATTTTGAAGGTTAACAAATTTGAGTTGTTTTTATACTTGGAGTTTTGTAACCTGTCTACTCATATGATAGTGTTGTCATGGGAACAACACGAACCAGGAATATTAAAAATAAAAAGGTCTTTACACAACTAGATCTGGGACACCTTTTTTTATTTTGGAGTGGGAATAAAAAGTCAAACAAACCTATTATTGAAGCATTCACACATCATTTAAACCTCAGTGTGCTTTTGTACACGCGCATCTTGTATGAGAAACACAGCAAAGCCTGTCACAATCCACTTAGTCAAAGGCGACTGGAGAAACAGATCGTCAAATTAAAACATTTAATATTGTACCCCACAGACACATTCCTGCCATTTGAAAGTAGGCAAACCAAAATGTCCACCACAGAGTAAGGAACCTAAAAAGTGTCCTTAAAATAAATCAGCTTTGGTACTTGGAAAAATCTAACTTATAACATTCTTCATTGACAAAATTATACATTCTACCCCTAAAATGTTCAATGCACTTTCAAAAACTGGATGCAACTGATGCATACATAGTTCAGATAGAACACCTTGCATTGCTTTCATATAAGAGGTCTGTTCTATTTTTGCAAGGTTGTGTGCAACTGTGCGTTGATAATCACATCTACTGGTACGTGAGCAGATCAAGAGGAGTATAATTATAACAGTAGCTAGTGTTAGCCTCTGATCTGGCAGGGTTGGTTGGTTTGAGACAGCATTAGGTTTGCTGTGTGAACAACACCCATTACATGAGGGCCACACTGAACACTGTCTAATCAAATCATTATCTCACTTATGAGTCAGACAACCCATGACCGTGTAGCTGGATTTCACTGTTTTTGTGCCATATGTTTGTCTACAGCAGCAGGGGAAGGGTTGAATAACCCCTGTCATGTTGAAAGTCTGGGAGTTCTGTGGGAGCTAACTGAGGACTGTTCATGCTCTGTTAGTACATAGGGCTATCTACCAGGCATGCAGGGGTCAATTTACGAACAGCTGAGGTACAATGCTGAGAATTAGTAAAAAGTGCAAATTTCTCACGCCGACAATAGCCTAGGTGCTCCTCAGTCACCCGTTTAGTGCTTTTTCTTGTCTTTGTGCATTCAAAATTATTTATTTGTAAAGGGTAGCAGCCAGTCCCTCCCTAGTTTCTGTGTGGAGAATGGTTGGGGTTGCTTTGTTTGGGATAAAAACATCGGAGGAAAGGAAAGGCACAGAGCTTTTTTTTAACTAATAGCTTCCTACCTCTGCTGCAGTTCTGCAGAGGATTTAGACTGCCCTGTCCACTGTGATCACTGTCAACAGCTATAATAATAATTATCACATAAAATCAGTGACCCTCCCCAAGGCTCTCAGACACACTCCTCTGACAATAGAAAAGTCACAACAAAAACAAAACCTAAACCACCTCCACACTATTTTTCCCCTTCACTAAATTCAATGCAGACAGGATATAGCCTCGCAAACACACAAGTCACAATCAACATTTAGCTACAAATTACAGACAAACAAACAGGGTAATTTATTGTGTCCACAAATGTTCATTCTTTACACGGAGGCCTTTAACTAACCCTCCAAGTTGACAAAGGTTCTCACAGGCCGTTTAACTTTACTGAGTTCCATGCCCATCCTCCTCCTCATTATGGTAGGACAGTGGGTAAAGCCGTAAAGAAGCTCTCCTTTTCATTTGTCATCTGAACGGTTGCCAGAGACAGGTGTGTACAGCCATGGTTAGGGGAGTTTGCCTCAGAAGTGTTGATTAAAGCATTACCAGGAAGAGACAGAGCAGTGGACACGCAACATGAACAGAGGAAGATCTTATCTCACAGTGCTGATGTACACTCTCTGTTCATCTCGGTAAATCAATATTTTGAGACATCGGAGACATCGTTTGGCTGAGTTAATTTACAACTGACCTCCAAAGTAGTCAAGCTAAACATGGATACCATCAAGATGTAATTACTCTAGTCCCATTCCTGCTTTTGAAAAACAGACGACGTGACTGGATCTTAACTACTCTGACCACCACTATAACAGGCTTCAGTGCTTTTGGCCGCAGGCTTTACAACCACACACACCAAACAACAACACTGATCAAAACTCACACACATAAAGTCGATTTCAAAAAGATGCTCAGTAAACTTTCAAAAGCACATCATATGTCATAACACTTTTCTCAAAATTGTATTTCACAAAAATGTTCTTGGGTTGGGTTTTTTACCCACAGGCCAGCGACAATGACAACAAAGAGACAAAAAGCGCTGCTGCAGTGCATTCTGGGATTTAGTAAAAATTTACAGACCCCAACTCTTAGAGTGATGATACACCAGTGTATATACAATTTAATAGGTCGGCCTAAGCATTCAGCTATGTCTAGTCTTATCCAGTGGATCAGTATTCCCACTCATCTGTCTTCATGTCCAGATAGCTGAGGATGTTTTGGGCAAACTTGACTGCCTGCTTGCGGGCCACCTTGGTCATCTCATCACCCTGTGGGTCAACTGCGTCCAGAGCCAGCAGCTGTTTGGTCAGAAGCTCCTCAAGCAATATGTAGCTCTTGTCGGCCCGCTTGCCGTTGAAGCAGAGTACCTGGGCCTGGAGGTCTGACAGGCTGCCCAGGACCATCCACACAGCCCTGTGTTGTGGGGGCTCGTTAGGGCCGGGCTGGCGGCAGATCAGGGCCTCACGGAGGTCCAGGAAGGTGATTACAGCCTGGACCTCCAGCACAGCGCGCCGGCGGGCCTCACGGATACAGGGGTTACGGGCTGTGTCCACCTGGTCCAGGTGTGTGAGGAGACTCTGGAGCTCAGGCTTGGGCCTAAAGAGGTCGCCCACCCCACAGTGTCGCAGGACCTCCCCCCGCAGCTGGCCCACCCGACCCCGCACCGCCTCAATCTGACGGATTGAGTCATTCTGCGCCAAGTCATACCTGAAAAAATAAAGATATATACAACATCAAATTTCTGAGCCAAGTTGTACCTGAAAGCATGTATACTGTATTTCCTTTCTGTACTATTATTTGTAATTCTAGTAAAGCTGCGTACCTGCGCGTGTCGTCTCCCTCTCCCTCCAGGTCCAGGTGTTTGAGCAGGCCGTTGATCTCCTCCACCACCTGTTTGCGGTAGTTCCTGACCGCTGCGTTCCCCGACACGTCCAGGGCGTCCAGCTCCACCAGGAGCTCAGTGAGCACGCGGGACAGGTGGGCACAGCTATCCCTCCCACTCAGCCCCATCAGCAGGGCCACCAGCTGGCTGCGCGCCCCACTCACCTGCACCATCACCTGGTTGATCTTCTGCACGGCCACATGCGTGTCTTCTGACAGGGGGAGAGTCTGCTGGCGCGTGCGCCCTTCGATCACGTCCTGCACGGCACACAGTCGTGTCAGGGCCCGGTAGCGAGCCTTGCGTAGGGGCACACTTCCTCCTGTCTTTACCTGGGTGAGCCTTAGTATCAGCTCCTGCACGGCGTCCACCAGCTCATCACTGATCTCTGATGTGCCCCCGGCCCGCTGCGGTTCCACCACCCCCTGCTCCACCAGCCTCTGGGCCTCCCGGCTCAGCTCCTCGATGGCCAGGCGGGACGGGTGGGTGGCGTTCTCCTCCAGGTAGCGCAGCAGCCCCTCCACCTCCTGGGCTGATCTCTTGCGTGCCCCCTGTAGGTCTGCCCTGCCCTCTGTGTCCACCTGGTCCACCTCCAGGAGCAGCTGGGTCAGCTCGCGCTCCAGCCGCCGATACTCCCGCTCGTTCTTCAACCCGCTGAAGGTGCACACCTGAGGGCCCAGAGATTGGACCTCCCGCTGGACCTCATAGAGCCGTATCATGGCTGGGTGCTGCTGCTGCTGCTGCTGGCTGCCATGGTCCATCCTCTTTCCACCATCAAAGGGCTTTCCAAACAAGCTGCAAAACAGGCACAGCACAAATACAACAACAAAAGTTAATAACTAAACACATTCATAGCCTACACTCTCTAAAATGTTATATTTTTTCTATCAACTGTTCAACCTTAAAATAGGAATACGTGAAGAAAAAAATAAGCTTATCAGTATGAGGCTTGTCCAATTCAATATGTTAGGCCAGGTGTTCTTGTTTCCATTATGTAATGTTGACCTAAGCCGCCTGCGGTTTTCCAAGCTCCACCCAAAATAAAAACAAGCATGAACAAGCCGCCTTTGTACACTGTTATTACCTCAAAGGACAAAGAGCTACTGGAGGTTTAAATGCACTTGATCAACGTACAATACCACTTTGTTAGTGTGACCGTTTAACCAACAAGAATTATGCAGGCATGTCCTAAAAACAGGCAATAAATTAATTAAACATTCAATGATAACACTAGCATGACAATCATTCAACTCCTTACTGAAAGTAGGCTACAGCTCTAGACTCAGTGCCGGCTACTATTTAAGCTTATGTCCAAGGCTGTCTAATGAACACCACTGAACTAAGTCTAATTACTGCAGCGACAACAACGCCGTTTTACACCCCAGGTCCGAAATAACCATAATTGAGTTACATTCTTCAGAGAACATCTGAGCGGACTGAAAATGACACCCAACAGAACTAATTCCCTCACTCAAAGATGACTGTTTTCCTAATCGTATCAAATAGTCAACAACACTACTTACAAAAACTCCAGAGGGAAAACTCAATTAATAAAATCAAGCTGGCTCAGGTAAGATCAAGCTGGCTCAAAAGAACACACCAGTAGCCTAAGTTTTGCACCATCGGCATACAGACACTGCAGATTGAGAGGCTCTCAAAATATTGTATTTGCAGGCTGCTGCTATACCATGGTGATGTGTCTATAATGTCACAATAGACAGGTCATTCTTCTCATTCTTAAAAGAGACAGTGTGTCACTGTTGTTCACCATATGAGAGGGATTCTTCCAAAGGGGATTATGGTGAGAGAGAGTGCCGATTTGGCAGTCATTATGGGATTACTAGGGTCCATTTAAACCATATTTAGACAGTCCCGAGGAAAACATGTCTATTGGTTAAATTGCAATACCATTCAGATAATACACCCTTAATGAAAAGCCTCAAATACTGTCGGTGTGACATAGGTTTCGTCACCAAACCCACTGGTTACAGGTCATCTATAAATATCTGCTAGGCAAATCTCTGCCTTATCTTAGCTCATTGGTCACCACAGCAACACCCACCCGTAGTATGCGCTCCAGCAGGTATATCTCACTGGTCATCCCCAAAGCCAACACCTCCTTTGGCCGCCATTCCTTCCAGTTCTCTGCTGCTAATGACTGGAACAAACTGCAAAAATCTCTGAAGCTGAAGACTCTTATCGCCCTCACTAACTTTAAGCATCAGTTGTCAGAGCAGCTTACCGATCACTGCACCTGTACACAGCCCATCTGTAATTAGCCCACCCAACTACCTCATCCCCATATTGTTATTTATTTTGCTCATTTGCACCCCAGTATCTCTATTTGCACATCATCTTCTGCACATCTATCACTCCAGTGTTAATACTAAATTGTAATTATTCTGCACTATGGCCTATTTATTGCCTTACCTCCATAACTTACTACATTTGCACACACTGTATATCGATTTTCTATTGTGTTATTGACTGTATGTTTTGTTTATCACATGTGTAACTCTGTGTTGTTGTTGTTTTTAATCGCACTGCTTTGCTTTATCTTGGCCAGGTCGCAGTTGTAAATGAGAACTTGTTCTCAACTGGCCTACCTGGTTAAATAAAGGTGAAATAAAAAAATTAATAATATAGCCTATCTGTAGTATTGTCTCAGGAGAGCCACTGGAAAAAGTCAGTGGAGACAATATAGGCCTTATAGTATTCTCCTATTTGCCATATGTTTGTCAGAAGGGTCGTTCCACCTCAAAAAGCACAAGAAAGAGGATTAACACCCACCATTGCAGATTGTTCTGAAATCTATTTTGTTGCTAGTAACGGATAAGATTAGCATTCCGGCAGGATTCGTATTATATTCAATAAATATAGGAACTAACATCTGATTTGGACCAAACTTTTTTTTCTAACCATGACGAATCCAAAGAAATTGTCAAACAATGACTATACAGTATCAGTTCTCTGTGTTTGACAAGTAGTATGGAGCTACGGCTTTGAGTATTGTTTCTTCATCCTATTTAATGTATTCTCAGTGAATTTGTTTTTGTTTGTTTTTCCCTGTTCAATTAGTCATTTAAGTTGTTAGGTTTATATCCTATCCTACATCCTGATAATACCAGGTTCTGACCACTAAATGGTGCTGTTCCTGTTATTAGGTAATTTTGTTTAAGAACCCCTCCTCAATGTTTAAGGGATAGTTCACCCAAATTACAAAATTACATATTGGTTTCCTTACCGTGTAAGCAGTCTATGGACAAGGTATAAGCAGTCTATGGACAAGGTATGACAGGAACCCATACATTGGTTTTGTTTACCTGGCCACTGTTTCAAATGCTAACTTTTTTGCAGTTATGGCAAACATGAAGCGTGAAAACGCTAATATGGGTACCATTGACTTGAATTGGATTTGTGTCACAAATGCTTAAAAAGTTAGCATTTGAAACAGTGGCCAACAAAACCAAAGCATGGGTTGATGTCATATCTTGTCAATTCATGGGTTGCATGTTTCGTCAAAATATTGTTTTGAATGTTCGTTTTGGACTGATACCCGACTGAGCACTCTACTCAATGCATCGTCAATGAGCACTGATGAAGATTTAATCAAAAGTGGCTTGGAAATATAATGACATTTAAAAGGAGGCAAATAATTAGTAGGAAAACCTTTTGTCATCATTTTGATGTAACCATATTGACTTTAGATGCAGTATAACATTTGCTAGCTAGCTAAGATTGAGGGGAGACCACTGGATTTTAGTTCGCTAACGTTAGCATTGTTAGCTATGTTTGACAAACTTTTAATAGCTAATGATAACTTTGCCATCTGTCTAAAGTAAATTTACGACATGATAATGCTGACAAAGTTGTTTCCTACTAAATATTTGACTACTTTAGCAATGCCATCGTATTTCCAGGCACTATAGTGTAATTTAGATGAAACCGTTAGCCTCCATCCAGAATGACTGGCCTTATCACCACTTTAGGGCACCACTGTTGCACCGCCGATAGAGGGCGGCTTGAGAACGTTCATAACAATGGCATAACACGACCGAGTGACAGATTTGCAACCTATGAATAGACTGCTTACAGGGTAAGGAAACCAATGTAATTTTGTAATTTGGGTGAACTATCCCTTTAACATTGAGGGGGAAATCTTCCAGCTTTTTTCACCTATTAGCAGGAACAATGCCATCTAGGTGGTCAGAACCTGGTAATATCAGGATGTAGGATGGGACATAAACTTAACAACTTCAATGACACATTTCTCTGAACAGGGGAAGAAAATAATTACCAAATTCACTGAGAATACATTACAAAGGATGAAGAAACAATACTCAGAGCCGCAGCTCCATACTACTTGTCAAACATAGAGAACTGATACTGTATACTCGTTGTTGTGTTGGGATTGGGGTGGGGTGCGGGGGATCAGTGGGTGGCTTTTGAACATTTCTTTTTCTTAGTCATTGTTCATAAAAAAAGGTTTGGTCCAAATAGGATGTTAGGTACTATATTTACTGAATACTATATGAATCCTTTAAATTAAAATTTGTAAATTTGGGTGCAATCAATTTGCTTACTTTTATCAGAGATCAAATTATATTTCAACAAAATAATGTTGTAGGAATGTTAATCTTATCTGTTTCTAACTACAGAAACAATTTGAGAACAATGTAAGATGGTGGGTGTCATGGCTTGCTGAATTGAAATGGAACGACCCAGAAAGGACAACAGGTATTTTTCTGAGGGGTAACAGAGAAATGAAAGAGAAAAGGATTTCATTTTTCCAGAACAGGCCTCAGGGGAGAGACAGACACTAGGCTACTTGTTGTCTTTTGAATTAATATAACCAGACACAGTAGTATGAAATACCATCTCAAATAATACTGTGCTGCTATTGTACTCCTACCTAAAAGTATGGTGACGACCATGGGCCGAATTCACACAAATCGACAACTAGACTTTCACAACAAAATCCTATTGACATGAGTGCATGATTACACAACCACCAAAAACAATGTTAAAGCTAGGTACGTTGAATAAAACAGCATATTTTTCATTTTGCTGTCAGTTTCGGATGAGCAATAAATAAAACCCAAAAGGCTAGTCAAGCCTCCCAGATGTGTAACCCCTCTCTGTATGCCAGGGAGAGGTAGCCTATCAGGAAGAGACAGACATTGTTATGACCACATTCTGAGTGTCCGGAGAGGGCCCCAAACCAGGATGCCACCGGCAAATGCCCCTTTTCTGGCCACAATGGGGCAAGGCTTGGGCTACCTGTGAGGCCAACAGCTTACAAATCAAAGATCGCCCAACACAGAACCCGATCAGAACAAGCTTGAGGTCTTCTGTGGGCTGCCAACATGGCTAATATGTTTACATAACCTAGACCCATGTCATCAATACATTGATACCTGTAGTCTAGAATTGATCTGTGTAAGGCAGGGATCATCAACTTAATTCAGCTGCAGACCGATTTTTTTGGGAGCGGATGGTCAGGGGGCCGGCACATAATTACAAATAATTTGTACACTGCCCAAACAGATTTAACATTTGACTAACACATAATAATTTCAAACCTTACTTACATTTGTATACAATCACATCCATTTCTCTATTATGCATGGACATATTTTGGAGCAGATTTCCTCAATTTAAATCACTTTGAGCTGATTTGCTGGTGTTTTTAGTATTTTATGTCCAACAATAAAAAAAATAAACATTGGTTCAGAAAACTTGGGGGGCAAAATAAAATTACCAGTTGGGGAACCCTGATGTAAGGTGATGCTCT